GTAAATAAAGGCCAAAGACTATGAAGGAAAGGGGGAAAATAACCTAATTTACTGTTCTGATACATAGAAAACTCTGAAATTCAGTGTAAAATCCAAGTGGCCACTGAGCGTATCAATAGCTCTAGGCGTAGAGTTTTAGACCGGCATTTGTCAAACTTGTTAATGCGGCGTCCAGTAAAAAATTCCCTTTGTACTGTGAGGCACTTTGTGTTGCATGGAAGCCAGAGTATGTGGGTTCAGGAGACCAGTTATTAAATACAGTTGTTTAATTCAATAAAGATACTCAGGTGTAAGTGAGCTCCATGTTCTGAAATGTCTTCATTGTTTTGTTTTCATCTTACTTGTTAATGCAAATGCAAATGTCAGCTAACATTCATGCTTTAATATACTCCATCAATAATACAAGAAACTTTTTTGAAAAATCAGAGAGGAATCAAACATTTAGAAGAAGACAGGAATGGTGATCGGATGTCCTTCTTATTTTCAGAGCGTAACACTAACAGCAACTTAAGAAATATATATGTATATCACATCAAGGCAGAATTGGAAATCCCAAAGCTAGGCTTTATAATACATAATCCAAAAACAAATTATACAACTTTTTGGTACAACTAGCATATGCTTATATTTCAGCTTTTGCAGGGAAAGGTCTTTTCTATAATTAAAAGTATCCATTATTTTTATCCATGAAGGTGGATAATATTATGGATAATTTTGAAGTTACTGATCTGCCCAAGTAGGTCAAAGACATTGCTGGCATACTCAGTATGCCTATACTTGGTAAAAAAAGAATTCAGTGTTTACAGAAGATGACAGTTGGTATGAACCCACCTGACCATATTGCTAAAAATAACTAAATGTGTTCACTACCCATAAAACATGAAAGCAATGAAGCGAGCCAGCCTTTTGCAGCTTACCTCTATTAAGTAGATTTTCTGTCACTGAATTCATGTGTAAGGCCTGTAAAAAAGGTTCATTGCTTTTAGAGTTTTAGACAAGTCCTTGGGAGAAAATCAAACTAAGCTTCTCAGAGATAATATGTGGCTTTTCTGACAGTGTTAACAGGAAGGCTCTTTGAGAATTGCTATTCCTATAAAACCCTAAAGAGAGCTCTGACAAATGAGTTCAAACAGTTGGCTTGGGCTGTCAGGGGCTGGGGAAAATGGTAACTATGCAGTGAAGACCTGTACCAAAGGCTGAGAAGGGGAAGGTTCTGAGTTTTGCTAAAAATCTGGATAGTGAAAAATGAATCTTTCACTTTCTGAAGGGCTGAAGTCATTTGAATATCTAATGAAAAACTGAAGCCTCACTGGAAAAAGTCCTTATTCAGTAAGTTTTGCCTACAATTGTAGAGGCTCCCCAGACCCTCCTGATGCCCATCTGCAGGTGAGGATTTTCCTGGAAAAGAATCTGCCAAAAAATAGACCCTTCTGATAGCTCGCAATATCCTTAGTTGAAGAAAATATAACTGACGGACACTCCATGACCCTGAATCAGCTCTGTCAATTACAATTCATTATCACAAGATTGCTTTGCAAAAAAGATGAACAACTGGGTATTCTGTGCAGCCTCAAGTTACTGGAAATAAAGGACATAAGTACATTAATAATGGTCTTTATGTGGGCTCATTTATAAATTCTTCTTTGATATGGATAGTTGACATTTTCTAAATTTTACATATCATTCTAGGCAATAGCAATTCGGAGACAAACCTTTAGAGTATCACCTTGCAACTCCCTCTCATATAGAAACATCTGAGAGTATGATGAATTTCAAGCTGAACCTTCTACCGTCCACAACTGGCCTAAGGCTTATTATGAAGATGTGCTGCTTTCTACTGCTCTACCCTCAAAGAGCTGAAATGTGAGGCAAACTAAGGGTCAACTTGCCCGCTTCCAGTTAACAGATTTATTTCAAGGTTAAATAAAACAGTTTTGCAATCAAGGCCACTGAGACCTGCCTGCCTATCGTCACAAAAATCTAAGGGTAATAAGGTTTTTATTCTGGGTCCCTACTGCTTAATAAACCATTCACCTCCATTGAAAAAGAAAGCACAGAGTAGCTTAAGAATGAGGACACACTCTAAAGAAAAGCTATCAACACGATTCTGTAGCTCTAAAACATGGTACCTTCCATTGTCTCTGGATTTTTTGCTTAACATCAAACAACAATCTGGCTCCAGATAAGCTTGATATTTTAAAAACAAAGTTATTTTAGACTTTTTTTTTACAAATTGAAGGAAAATTTATTTATTTATTTATTTATTTTGTACAATGACAATTACACATTTTAGACCTACAAATAAGTTGATGTACGAGTTTTAAACCACAGAGCACAATGTGTGATAGCCTTCTTCCTTCTCACTTATTATCTGAAGTGTCATATTTTAGTTCTAGCTCATGAAGCTCAAGACAGTTAGTTAAGAATTTTGTGGTAAATGGAACATGTGGGAAACATTAAGAAGAAATGCTAGTTGAAAACATATATGCCCTTTATTATTATTATGAGTTGCCGTTTCCCAGGCCCTAGAATAATGTGAAATACAATTGAGTTTATTATACTATAAGTGCATTGGCTCTTTACATTTTCAAACAAATTTATTATAAAAATTGACAGTTCTATTAATATTTTAAATATATATAATTTCTTATACTTCTGACTTTGTGCTTCTTTATGAATGTTAAAGGTCAACGAGCACCCTGAAGTATAGACAGTGAAATAGCATGCCCTCTTGGATTTGCTTTAAAATATTAAACAAAATAAAATTGTGCATAGCAGATAAATAAAACTAGATTGACAAACTAGGTAACTTTGAAAATTGAATGATAGGAATATAACAGCTCATCATACTCTTGTATTTGTTTGAATGGAATGTGTTGCAAAAATTTTTTTTTAAAAGTCAGAGACATGGAAATTTTCCAGGGACTAAGAATTAACAGTTAAAAACTCTTTAAACTAGAAGCCAGACAAAGTAGATCATTTAATAAATCTTGCTAGTATTTTTTGGTTAAAATGAAAACCAGATTGTGTATTTCTAACAAAATATGCCTGGAGGATTTAAGTAAATAAAGATGTCACAGTAGACAGTTCTTGAAATTCTATGTGTCTTGCTTAGCCAGATTGCGGGGTGAAGTTTGAGGATGGGGAGAGCATATTGTGTGATTCAGGCTGTGAGGTGTCTTTTCTACTTCTCCTGTGTACAAGGAGGTGTTACAGGAGAGGATGTTGTTAGACACGACTGATGGAACAGAGCAATGAGACAGAGAGAGAGAGAGAGAGAGAGAGAGAGAGAGAGAGAGAGAGAGACAGAGACAGAGACAGAGACAGAGACAGAGACACAGAGATTGTCCCAGAAAAAGGAGGCACAGGAGCTGAGAGGTGTCAGCCAGAATGAGGGAGTGGCAAACACAATAAAAACAGCAAGGAGAAAAGCTTCAAGTTCCTCTCAGGGAGATTTCACAGGGCCTTCTGCTCGACCCCACACTCGGCTCTTGTTTCAGAAACTAAAATGATCCCCCATTCTGTGGTGACATCCACCCTGGGAAAGGAGAACAGCACCTTGTAAACTCACATAAGGAAGATAGTCCGGAATCAAGGCAAATCCCTCGGAAAGTAGTTCAGTCTTTCATTCTCATGGGGCTTAGACTGAGGGGCTCAAGAAGCTTAGTTATTTAACCCATGTAGAGAAACAGGATCCAGATGCTTTGGAGATTAATTTAAAAGGCCCACCCTAGGTACACAAAGAAATGCTAAATCTTGGCAAGACCTGGAGACTCACTGGGTGCCTGTCCAGGACAGGATGTGGCGCTGAGAAGACCCAGCACAGACAGCATCACGGAGCCTAAGGGACTCTCATGTGTCTGTCGTGTCTTTGCTACTGGACCACAGAGGATGCCATGATTGAATCTTCTTAGGGAAAGGTGCTGAAGCTGGGGACGAGCCCCACTTGCCTCCAAGACTCTTGATTCTCTTCCTGCACAAAGCATTCTTTTGTCAAAAAAACAAGAAGAAAAATGTAGAGGATGCCAGTATTTCCAGCCAGGACAGGCTGGGAGCTAACACACCAGTAGAAACCTGGTTTCTGTCTCTGAATTGTCTCCCAGGCATGTAGTGGACCATACGCCAAGTGTGCTATACCCTTGTCTCCCCTGCCAGATGTACACTGTGTTGCCAAACACCAGACTTCAATTCTATACCTCATTCGTCCTCTCCTGGCAAAGCTGAACGGAGTCCCACTGTTATTCACTCATAAGGTTTCATCAAACCAAAATATTTGGATCCATGTTTAGAAGTTAAGTCATAGCATTAATGTATGAGTAACACTGGGAGAGCATAGGGTTTCTGATGACATTCCTGATGGCTGAGAGAAATGACACCAAGCTCCTTCTGTGTAAGAGCAAATGGGTCGGTGGTGGTTTTTTTTTAAAATTTAGATAAAACAGACAGTAAAAAACATACATTTTCTTAAGTGTGAAGCTTAATTAAATTTTGCATAAGCCCACGCTTGTGTAACAACCACTCAGATTCATATCTATAATATTTCTGTCATCCCATGAGGTTTTGTCATGCCCGTTGCCAGTCAGTCCTCCTCAAAAGTAACTTTTAACCTGACATCTATATTCATTGATTTGATTTTGTCAGTTCTTATGCTTCATATTAGTGGAATCATGCAGTGTGCAATTACAGACTCTAGTGACTTTTTACTTTATTTACTCAATTCTAATGTGACTTTCATCATTGGTGAGACATGCAGTTCATTTATTTTTAATGTTTTAGTAGTATTCTATTATGTAAACATTCCACAGTCTACTTGTCCATTCTACTCTGGTTAAACAGTGGGTTGTTTACAACTTTGGGCTATTATGAATAAAACTTCTGTAAATGATTTATGGTTGATATGAAGCATGGTTTTAATGTGCATTTTTCTGAGGTCTGGTGGTGTTCAGTAGGGGTATAGCTATGTACAAATACAGTGGTCACTTAGGAATGATTTCCCAACGAAAGGAACAATAATTTTTTTTATTTAAAGAAAGATTAAACAAAACAGAAAATAGGTAGAAATAGTACATACATGCAGAGAAAAAAAAAGAGTAAGAAATCACTAGTTGATGTCGTTTTACAAATAGTTGTTCAAGGTACAAAAATGGAACATGTAAAGTGGGAATTCAAATAGAGGGACTGCAAAAAGTTCTAATCAACTGTCCAACAAAAACTTAGTAACATGGTTGTCAATCCTATACATTTAAACATACACGCAGTTATCCATATCTTCATTTATGTTTAGATTAAACAAACTAAATCACGTTAAAATCATTTTGAACAAAGAATAATAGTATTGCTGGATTTCACTTCATGACGCTCCATGATCAGCACTGGGTACTGTAGTGTCTTCTTTTTAAAACTGAATTTAAAGAAAGACTAAAAAAACAGAAAACGGGTAGTAATAATACATACTTTCAAAGAAAAATAAACAGTAAGAAATCACTAGTTGATGATTACAGATTGTCTTCTTACAAATAGTTATTCAAGATACTAAATTGGAGCATATAAAGTGGGGATTCAAACAGTGAGGTTGCAACCAGTTCTGTTCAACTATCCAACAAAAACTTAGAAATATGGTTATCAATCCTCTATGCTTAAACATACATGCAGTTACCCATATCCTCAATTATGTTGACTTTCAATAAACCCAAGCAGGCTAATATCACTCTGAACAAAGAATAACACTATTGCTGGGTTTCACATTATGACACTCCAGGATCAGCACCGGGTATTTTAGTATCTCCTTTTCTTCAAAGTATCTGTTCATTTCATCAATTGCCATAACATCAGTTCCCATAAATTGTTTATAGATTCTACACATGCATGGGTCTTAACATGTATTTTTTTTTTAATTTTGAAAGTAGCAATTGTGCAACAGCGTAAGACAGAACAAAGCCAATCAAGACAATGCTGTGAAATTGGTACAGGATTTCACAGTAGGATACTAGGATAGTAGTACTAAGTACTATGATATATCACTTTAATTTAACAATAGCTATCCAGTCAATTACGTATTGTTAAATCAAACCAAAAATAGAACACTGTAAAACGAATTGAGAATATTGAATAGAGCAAAAGAAATATAACAAAAAGTAAAAACAACCTATGCCTTCAAACAGAAGATAGAAGGAAATCCCTCATATTTGCTATACTGCTTATGGTCATCCTCCCAAGAGATGTTGAAATATCTGTCCCTAGTAGGTAAGGGGGAAGGGGGCAGGTGGGAGAAGGGTGCTTGATTTTCAGCTCGAGTGGGAGTTGGCTTACAGGTAATGGTTCTCCTCCAGGCCCAAACTGCAGGTGCTTACCAAGAGGGCAGGTGAATAGGCTGCCTGAATTCCTCCATGGCTGGAACTCTGGAACTCTGTTCTCCTCCTGGCCTGCGTTGCAGACGCTTACCGAGAGGGCGGGTGAATTAGGCTGCCCGAATTCCTCCATGGCCGGAACTCTGGAACTCTAGGAACAATAATTTTTAAACACTTTGGAAACAAAATGTGAAAGTAAATAGTCTCATCCGCTTTTATCACTACTTTCCTCTCTTACACCGCCGTTTCTTTATTCTGTCTGAGTACTTGTAAGTATCTGACTGCTTCATGCCATGAATTTCAGTGGACAAATGAGAATTTTCTTGTCTTTCTCCCCTCTGTATTTCTTCTAAGAAGTGATGGTGAACTTTTTGCAGCTTTCAGGGATAACAAACAGCCCTTTTGGCACATGTGCCATAGGTTTGTAGCTGCTATTAGGAGCTAAAGCAGAGAAATGGAAATTAAGGCACTGGAACGGAGTGCAAAACTGAAGGATTCTGCCTCGTTGAATCCTCTCTCCTCTTGCCTGATTTTTTTTCCTTAAGTGCTGGGATTACAGGGATGTGCCGCCATGCTCAAATTGAATTCCTCTTCTCTGAGATCTATTCCACATAGACAGATGTGGGTTCCTAAAGTCATGTTTATATCATGTGACCCTACCCATTCTACTGACTTCAACTGATGAGGTAAAAGAAGTCACTTGATCCAGAGGGAGGAAATTCTTTGCTTGGCATGAGTCCCAAAGATTTTCTGTTGTGAGCATTTGAAGTTCTGTTGTTGAGGCAATGACCGTTGTTCCAGAGACACTGGGAGAGGAGACTATGCACAGAAAGGCAGCAACAGTTAGTCTGCGGACAAAGTAAGACAAATAAAGAGCTGTGCAGAGATAAGGGAAAGAGAAAAGCAGCGACAGGGAGAGCACAGCTGTGGGAATCCCCACAAGGCCTTGATTTCTGGCTCTGCTCTGCGTATCCTGTGTTCTGTAACATAGCTCAATAGTGATTCAAGTGAATTCCGCCTTTTTGGTGAAGCTGGTCTGAGTATGTTTTTGTTCCTTGCCCACAAAAGTCACAGAGTAAAGAAATTCTTGTCCAAGTCTCTTTTGATCATGGGTTGGAAAAAGAAGGTTAAATTGCAAGAGGCCTGAACCTGCTCCATCCAAGCACTGCTCCTTGGAGGCTCACCCTGCAAATGCTGTCTTTTCCTACTACATCCATTAAATAATGAGAATAAAATTAAAGACAGGGAAAAAAAGCATAGGATTTGCCTCATTTACCTCTTTCCTCTTCCTATTTTTCTTCTCTAGGAGTGCCCACTTTTAGCTTTTTTCTGTTTCACTTAACTTCCTTTTATTTCTTTGCTGAAGCCTCTTAGCTTTAGAACACTGTTTCTAGAACAATGGCTGTCATGAATGAAAGCATTTGGATGTAGGGACAATCTTTTCCGAAACATGGGTCCCTGTACTTTAGCTGACACTTTGGGTCAAAACCAAATCAAAACAATTGACAAAAGAAAATCGTGCCTTGGATGAGAATTCATAAACTGTGGAGACCAAGAGCAAACCACGCACCCTGTGCGGCCTGCCCAGTTTTCAGAGCTGTGCGAATTTCAGCCTGCTAGAGAGTTCAGGGACATGCAGGCAAACGTGGGAGAAACAAATCACTTTGTTAAAAAAAGGAAGAATTTAGTAGTTAAGAGCACAGGAAATGAAAGCAAGTAGATCTATAACTTCCAATGTGAAAATAAGTGCCTTTTCAAATAATTTAGCTAGTTTCTTATTCTAGCTGTGACCCAGATGTTTATTTAGAAGACAACTTAGCTCTTCTGTATCTGAAATATTTAATATTTCATGGGAGTGTCCTTCTCAGGGTAACAAAATATAAAATGACTAGCTATGGATTGATTTTTACAGGCAACCTGAGAGATGAATGAGGAGGCAGCCTCCTAAAGGTTTGTGATATTCTCAAGGACAGATGAAAAAGAATCAAACCAACCAGCAGCAAGATCCACCGTACGGAAGCAGTGTGCTGTTTTTCTCACATATTGTTTGGTTCCCTAATTCATTTTTAATTCTTGTACACGTGTACTGCTTTGTATTTAGAACGTTCTTTTCTGCAAGGTGTTAAAAGGAGGGAAGGGGGAAATGATACTTGGGAGGCGTAGCTTGGAAAGTTTTAGTATCCATGAGAGAAGCCTTCTCAGGGTTGGGCTGAGTGGGAACTTACTAAAACATCTCGCCTTTGTCTCCATGACACTCGGTTACACTGCAACCTGACCCTGCGGTTTCTGCTAAGAAATTCCATCCCGTCTTCCTAAGTATTATCTTCTTTATAAATGACAAAAGTGGAACAAGAAAAATGCTTTTCTCATATACTCTTTAATCCTTAGCCTACTTAGCCTTATGTCTTTCAAGTAGCAACAAGAATTAATAACATCGTGGTGTGTGAAAACCCATCAGTCACAAAAGTTATGTTACATAAAGGGAAAGGAGTAGCTACAGGCTGAAGTTTCTTGCTTGAGGCCAAATGTGTGTTATTCTCCCCAGACAGGATGGAGTCAGACGCTGAGCAGGTTATCTAAGCACAAGGGTCTCTTTGGAGATTGTCTCAAAGATGTGTCCAAATATGTAGCTTAGGAGGACAACTTTGTGGTTTTGGAAATGGATTTGGAATTTGTATGTGCTCTTGCAGTATTTTTTCCAGAGAATTTTCAAACAAGTTTTCATTGTTACCCCTTTTAAGTAACTCAGCTTTATACATGCAGTGGGAAGGGACCCGCATGGAGTAATGGGGGAAATCTAAGCAGGCGTCAAGTGTAGGAAAGGCTGCAGCTACCCGGCATCCTGCCCCCGGCACAGCCTTTGCCTCCTTTTGCCCAGATGTTCTCAGGGTCAGACCCCACAGGCCATCAGTCACTGCTGATAAGCATTTATTGACCATCTCATGGCTCAGCCAGCCTTTAGATCTTAGTTTAAATATCACTATCTCAGAAACACATCCCTTGGTTGCCCTAAGCCATCCTATGCGTTATCAGGTTGGTGATTGTTGTTGAGATTGTTGACTTAGCCTATATTCAGCCTTCCCTCATCCAGGTATAAGCTCCCACACAGTGTTTATTCTCATCACATCAATAGATATCCTTGATATATTGTACATGCCTAACCCTTTCTACGGACTTAATAAATATCTACTTGATCAATGAATCAATTAATGCATGGAGCCAGAGATGTTGGCATACGCCTGTAGTCTCAGCTACTTGGAAGGCTGAATTAGGATGATCACTTGATTCGAGGAGTTCAAAATCAGCCTGGATATCATAAAAATGCCCTCATCTCAAACATACAAAAATAATAAATACATAAAACATAGTATTTAATGGAATATAATTTTCAGTGTTTATTGAGCATTTACTACATGCTAGTTCTCTAAGAAATCTAATAAATGGCCGGGAGAACATGGCGGACAGATAACAGCAACTACCAGAGGCTCTCTGAAAGACTTGGCTCAGAAGCCAGGAATGGTGCGGACTAAGGAGACATAAGCAGGTGGAGATATGCTCTGCTGACTCAGGAATGAACTGGGGTGAGAGAAACCAACTTGGAATGCATTCCTGGTGCTAAAACAGGAACAGAAAAGCCTCGGTGTGGAGGCTGGACCCCATGCCATTGTAAGCCGCAATTTGGGTTTCCCGCCGCGCGGCGGCTGGCTGCCTCTACAGTGGCTCGGCAAGGGGAAAGACGTGCAGAAGCTCTGAGAACGGCAATCTGCGAACGGCAGGGAGGCGTGCATTGACTTGTGGTGAGGTGAGTGAGAGAAACTGACACTCTACCACAGTTTGACTCCAGCAGAGGACTTTCTGGGCCCGAGCAGTCCTGTGGGAGCAGGGTGCGGTGGCGACTCCAGCCACACATCCCCCGCTCAGGCGGGATTGGTGAAAAGTGCCTGGCCTGTGTGACGCTGCCGGCGGACCTGGTAGGCTGTCCCAACCCAGATCCCAGAGCCTGACGGTGGCCGGGAGGGGAGACGCGTAGGCTGCCTGGTCCGTAACTCCCTGGTGCATAGCAGTGAGCGGGAACACCTAACTGGCGCAATTCGATCAGGCTGTGGCTGACTGGGAGAGAAGCTGGGCCTCTTATATAAGCTTGCATATATAAGGAACAGAGAAGAAGAGGCAGCATGGGAAGAGGCAGCAACAAGAAAGGCTCCTCGGCCCCCAATTCTGAGAAACAGGCAATAGCAGACACCGCACCAATACACATAAGGCACCATATAGAGAGCCTCATAGACCAATTCAGGAATGAAGTTATCAACGACCTGAAGCTAGAAGTATGCAGAATAGTTAGAGAAATGCTAAGTACCACCCAAGAAAAAACAGGTGGTGGAATGGAAGAACAGAAAAAAAGGGGAGAATTGTTTGATGGAGAAAACAGAGAAAGCATAGAATACGTGAAGCAGGTTCAAAGGGACTACCAAGATACTAAGAAGTCTATAGAAGACTGGCATAACAGCTTGAAAGAAACTAAGGACAGACTATCTGAATTGGAGGGCAGACTTGTAATATGGGAGAATGAAATGAAAAACTTCTTAAAAATAACAAAGAAACAAACAGCAATAATACAAAGACAAGAAGATGATAAGAGGATCCATAACTTAAGGATTAAGAACATAAAAGAAGAAGTAGGGACACAAACAAGTGAACTACAAAAGCTACTCACAGAAATAATCCAGGAGAATTTTCCTAATTTAGCAAAAGGTAAAGATACTCAGATGTATGAGGCATACAGGACCCCAGCTACCTACAACCCAAACAGAGCAACACCCAGGCATATAATAATAAAAATTCCAGAAATTCAATACAAGAACAGAATATTAAAAGCTGTCAGAGACAAGAAACAGACCACTTACAAGGGAACACCCATCAGAATTACAGCAGATTTCTCTGCACAAACCATCAAATCACGAAGAGCGTGGGGGGAAATAATTCAAGCTTTGAAAGATAATAATCTCCAGCCAAGATTGAGATATCCTGCACAACTGTCCCTGGAAATTGATGGAAAAACAAGGTGCTTCCAGGATAAAGAGGAACTGGGGGAATTTGCAACCACCAATTCAACTCTACAGAGAGTATTGCAGGATATTCTAAAAAAAGAAAAATACAAAGAATCCAGAAATAATGGCCGAGAGGCCACAACGAATGGAGCAGAGAACAAAATGAAGAAGACAAACTGACAGCTACTGACAGAAAAAGAGCTCAACAGAAATGAGGCAGAGAAGATTGGATGATAGGAACAGCTATTTTGGAGAAAATGACATCTTAATAGGTAATACTGATTTAGTATCATCTTGTTTTGAAGTCTCATCTAGCTTTTGTCCTTCTGTCTCCAATGGTCTAAATAGGCTGTATCTTATTGGATTTAATTATGTACGATAGTATAAGCAAAAACCTTTTAAAGACAAGGAGATTATACAGAAACCATTGTTCATTTTCTGTTAGTCGATTCTAAATACTCTGTAATGCTGTCATTCTCTTGAATGGTTTTACATTGTTTTGATATAGTTAATGCTACAGTATACGAAGTTGTACTCAAGGATTTCAAAGAAAGAGACAATATGGTAACTACTTTTAGGTTAGGATTATCTGGTAGTGAAACACTATTCTGCTTAAATGGTTATGTTTTGATCTGCGCTGTTTTGCTGTTATGCCCTCTTTTATCTCAATCTCCACTCCATTATTTACTTTTTTATCTTTATCCTTTTAATTAAAGGAAAAAAATAGCAGGATATATTATAGTAACCCACTTTGACTTTTCATTACCTTGATTTAAAGCCCTGTATTACTTTCACCATCTGGTTTTTAACTGATGTTCCCCTATTCTGTTTTGCTGGATAGTATCAGGTTCGAAAGTCTAGGCATCAGCTGTGAAGATAACGAGATTCATTATGACGCCCATTCTTGTTGACTTTTATCTACTTTTGAAGACCTACAATGTCTCCAATGTTTTGGTTTTGTTGGTTTTATTCTTTACTGTTTTGTTCAATTGTATTATAACTAACGATATAGGCAATTCTATTAGAGATAGCGGGAGGCATTATGGTAACCATTGTTGATCACCTTGTATTATGTTTTTACATTATCTATTATGTCCACCCTTTTGACTTGACTGATTCTGTTCTGTTATGTCACATTTGGTTTTACTCTCTTCCAAAAAAGTAATAAGAACCATGGGAGCAATGAAACCCAAAATGTGT